CACACACACACACACACAGCATGGAGGGCACTGAGGATTTGAAGTGTAACTCAGCTGTGTTGATAAAAGTATCAAGAGGCTGAATTTACCTACGGAGTCAATGTCCAGTAGCCGCTGGAGGTCGCTGATGCTGTGGATTTCACTGTGGGACAGTCTGTCTATCAGCTCCTGGGGAAACTGCACTTCCTTCTGGGGGCAAAGAAATCAAACAACAGGGGAAAGTTAGACGTGTGTCGAGTCGGTGGTAAAACGTCCCGGTCATTGTTCGGCTGTAGAAATAACTGTGCTGAGTTTAAACAACCATCCGGAAGATCAGTGCTGGAACAGCTTTGCAACTATGTGCCAACTAACAAGCAGATCTGACATGCCCCTCATGCGAAGAAAAAGATTGCGCCGAAATCCCCTTGAGAAATGATGCAATTTAAGCATGATTTTGAAAGGAGCAGAAGCAAGCCTTTAGAATAATAACACATTTGATTGGATATGCTGGTTACTTTGGTCCACACCTTTCTAGAAGAAGCATTTTAAAATATTTTGTATCGCCTCTACTTGGCACACAGGACGGTCTTGAGAGAAACCTATCGTTTAAACCCAAAATTGTGTCAAAATAAGTGCTGCTTTCAGTATCCATATAGCGCCGAATTAAAGAATAGACTCCAATCAGCTTAATAACGCATTGAATTACTATGTTACTCGTTTTCCTCCTCTGCCGAAGAGCGAAACAATATTGAACCGTCTGTTTTCTGAGGGGACTTCGGAGCTGCACTGTGACTCGGGCCGTGCCGTGCCCATGTGAACCTCAGCGTTGCACTTGTTGCGCTGCTGCAGGAACCGTGCAGGATCATAGAAACAGTGGCTATATATAAAGAGATAGATATATTTCGCCCGGAGCGGTTCCCACGCATGAAAGCGCACAACCAAAACTATTGCCCAGTTGGCTCAGGCTACAAACAGATTTGGCACAAACGCCAAAAATAACTGCGTGAAATCGCGTTGTTAGTTTTCAAACGTGCGCAGTCACTGGCCCTCATGGTAACAGGAGCTGCTGCTTGTACACCCTCAACAAATTAATTCATATATTCACACTGTTCTTAAAATAGAGTCTTAGTCTAAACGGCCCTGTTTATTCTCTCAGATACGAGTTTGGACAGATTATAGGTTGATTCAAGTGAAATGTGTCTTTAAATGGTGTATAGGCTCATAATCAGATCTTCTAATTACAGGCTCTGCATCAAAACTTTGAACACTGTTGCTCTGTAGTTGACTCTCTCTGCTCATCAAGTTGTGGCTGTTGGAGAAATACGCGCTGAGACCTTTGAACCTTCACGGGAATAAAAACTGTCTATGGCACAGGGGACCAAGGGGACACGGTTTGCGTCCGGCCCCGTGTGTGAGGGATTCCTGGTTACTTTACCTCAGCGGTGGCCAGCAGCAGGTACGCCGTCCACAGCAGGAGGTGGCAAAGTGCGGCTCTCATCTCCCTTTAATTTAGAATGAACCCCAAACAAGAAAAACGCGCTGTTCTGAAGGAGCCGCAGAGTCGCTCCTGGCCCCAGAGGATCCACAACCATCCCCTCATGGGAGAGAAGCCGGGGTGTCAGAGCTACTCGGCGGGCTCGGTCAAACTCCGGGCTGCACTTGGCTCGTGGGTGTGAAAAGCTGAGGAGGCTGGAAGTTGACGCTTGTTATTCACATTGGCCGTGCGTCCTGTGGAACGAGCTCTGCTCCGCAGGTCCACATAGCTCCTTAGGCGCAAGCGGGACAATCCCAAGAGACGAGTCCGACGCGCATTGCACTTGTCCTTTACCCTCTGACAGAAAAAGGGCTTCAAACCTCAGCCCAGTTCACATGGAGATCAAACAAGAACCACAGCTCTGCTTCTTATGTTGGAATCAAGACGCACGGCTGTTTTTGTGTCTATGTGACAGTCCTATGAGAATATAATCCAAACGAACAGATCCTCTCAGAAAACCACAAGGGAGAAAGTTGTCCTTGTTGTGCCATACAGAGCCCGCGTTGCAGCAGTGCGTCTTTGCAGCAGCGCGCACGGCTCCTTGACTGTGTGGGACTCTGGAGTGAATGAAGTCTGAGCGCGTCTGAGCCGCTGCATATGAGAGCCAGCAGCTCCGGGCCCGTTGCGCCTCCCCTCGCGTCTCGGTGATCGTGCATCTATTCAGCTGCAGGGAGCTGGTTGGTTGGTGTGGATGACTTATTAATACTCAAGAGCATGCCCCCACCCCCACCCCTCACCCCCTGCATGTATATGTGCCCTTCAGCAGAGCGCCCATTCACAGATTCAGGCTGTAACTGATATTGATAATCGGTGACTGGAAATAATGACGTTAGACAGAGGGATATAAGGGATGATAGATAGATCGATCGATCGATAGATGATGAAGATGATGATGTCGATGTAGATGATGAAGATGATAATGATGGTGATGATGATGGTGATGATGATGATGATGATGGTGGTGATGATAATGATGGGGATGATGATGATGGTGATGGTGATTATGGGGATGGTGGTGATGATGATGGTGGTGATGATGATGATGATGGGGATGATGATGATGATGGTGATGATGATGATGGTGATGATGATGGTGATGATGATGATGATGATGGTGATGATGATGATGGTGATGATGATGGTTGTGATGATGATAGTGATGATGATGATGATGGTAGTGATGATGATGATGGTGGTGGTGAAGATGGTGATGGTGATAATGGTGATGATAGTGATGATGATGATGATGATGATGATGATGATGGGGATGGTGGTGATGATGATGGTGGTGATGATGATGATGGGGATGGTGGTGATGATGATGATGGTGATGATGATGGTGATGATGATGATGATCATGATGATGATGGTGATGATAATAATGGTGATGAAGATGATGGGGATGGATGATGATGATGGGGATGATGATGATGATGATGGTGATGAAGATGATGATGATGGTGATGATGATGATGATGGGGATGGGGATGGATGAAGATGATGATAATAATGGTGATGATGATGATGATAATGGTAAACACCCATGTGTTTTATGGTTTTCATCATGTGATGACGTAAATGGGCAGAAATGTAGCAGGATCATGATCATGATGATGTCTGTGACTGATGATGTCTGTGACTGATGATGTCTGTGACTGATGATGTCTGTGACTGATGATGTCTTATGACGATGGGTTAATAACACGAGCTCTCTTTGTGGTTTTAAGTTTGAAGAAGAAGAATCATGTATAATGCCTGAGTGTCTTATCAGCACAGAGAAATACAATGTGTAAGAAGTATTGAAAATACTAAGGATGATGACATTTGACACAATAGCGGGTGAATTATTTTACATCCATATGTGTGGGCGTGACTTTGGGGCAGAGGAAACAACTAGTTAACTGCACATTAACGACAGACTGGTCCCAACTTGTTGTGGGGAAGCTGGAGGCGGTGTGGTGCACGGTTGCGTTGGGAGGTCTGGGAGAAGAGCCCAGGGGCCTGGTAAACAAGACATACAGCTACAGAAGCGAGGACACAGACGGACACAGCGTCAGCCAGAGGTGACAATCAGCGGGGGGGCCATAGGTCAGCCGACCAGGTGGTCTGCCCTCCACCTTGTCCATTCAACATGGATCACATAGCACGAGGCCAGCCTGAGGGCGGTGTGTGGCTGGAAATGCTGCACCACTGCAGCTGGTGGAGTAATTAATGTAACTATTTTAATAGGGCAGTGAAGTTCTTTTTAGGATGGGACCAGCACTGTGAAACAAATGTAATATTTTTAACACAAAGTTCCTTCTGCTAAACGGATTCATTGCTCCAGCTGAAGCTTCTTTTTTTTAAATTTGCTGCACTGCACTTATCATCCAATCTTCAGTGCAACACTGCACAAGTAACTGTGTGAGTTCAAGTATGGGATGCTGCGTCAAAATGTTTGGCAGAGTCCTTTAGTGTTGTCATGGTTACAACACATGTCAGCCTCCCTAGTCATGCTGCAGTGCACTCTTACTTAAATGCATGAATCACGTTTCTTGTGGGTGTACACAATGTTGCATCATGGTGGGAACAGGGGGAGTAGAGAGGAGCAGGCCACATAGAAAGAGAGAGTGACTGTTTGTGTCAGGTGAAGTGAGTAAAAAGGAAAGAAGGAGCAGGTGAGGATGATGCATCGCAGTCGTTCTCTTCCTCTGCCGTCTTCTGTGCTTTGACGATTGTGCTTGTAAGTGTGAGAGACAGATATGGAGAGGAAACAAAACTACACCCAAACTTCAGCCACAGAAGAGTGATGCAGGTGGGAGATGGAGAGAGAGAAATCACATGAGGGAGGAGAAAATAAACTGAACAAAAGTAAGGATGGAGTCACATTTGAGAGGAGAAGGAAAAAAGATTCAGAAACCATTCCCTCTCCCTCGTTTCTACATGAGCTAATAGGCAACATGTTTACTGGTTACTGAGGATTGTGTACCTAACAACATAAACTCCAATAAATGGTTTTATATGCTGGTGCATAATAAATCTCACCATAAATACGCTGCGGAGAGGACGTTCTCTGACTGAGGAGATGACTCCTGTTTCTCCCCCGGGCCACACATATTTCCCAGTGAGAGAGGTGTAGGAAAAAGGGGGGGGATCTTTTAAGAATGTGCTGGATGTGAATTGCCTGGCCCTGAGGGATTGGAGTGTGCCTCTTAGTCTGGATGATGTCTGTCTGTTCTTATCGTCTATTTCTGTGGTAGGAGGGAGTGATCACTTGAGCAGTCTTGACCTTGTGAGACCAAACTTTTTTTTTTAGGCAGTGGCAGTTTGAAGACAATGAGGATGGAGATTAATGAAGAAGAAGGAGAAGGTAGTTAATACTTGATAGTTAATGAAATTATAAAGGCCTGGACTTAAGTGAAGGCAGAACCAACCATCATCATTAAATATATGTTTTCCTCGCTCCGCTGAAATATCTCCCTGAAAAAGGTTTATTTTCACTGACACCTTTTGGATATGCTCAAAGCAAAAGCATATTAGGTTCAGCTATACCCAGTATCTTGGCACAGTAAAGGTATTTTAGGAGTCATTGCAAATAAGCCTGTGATCCTCCCTCTACCCTCCTCACATGATGACAACAAGAACACATGATAGCTAATATGAGGTACATTCATGAGGGACAAAGTGAGAAAATAAAATAAAGTAACATTTAAAAAAGAGAAGAAAGAAAATGAATGAAAGAGAGAGAGAGGGGGATTTGTGGTGCGTTGTCATGACACCATCAATGTTCTCTCTTTGAATAAGCTGCCTCACCCAGATAATGATTCTAAAAAAGATATTGTATCATGTGGACAGGAGTAGGTGATGGGGTAATAATAGTACCATTATAAAGAGAAGTATTCCAGGACAGGCTATTAATGAGGTAAAGGAAATAGCATCTGGTCGCGTTTCTGAACCCAAACCCTGTGATGAAAGCAGAGAATCTCACACCTCAGTGTGCACTGGTGGAACCATAAAAAGATAGCAGCACAGACAATAGAAACTCAGCATACTGATAGCTGCATATTCACAACAGTTATGATACCTGCAACTACTTCCTTTCCAATAAAAGCTATGACATGTTTTCCACACGGCATCCCAGTTCTATGACACCTCGTAATGTCAAAGACCGAGTGGATTACAGGGCGGATTGCCTTGCAACAGGGACACAAACACAGATCTAAAGCTGGTGTCTCCCCCAGCACCACCCAGCCATATCTCGAGCACGCATGAGTCACGGACACCAGGAGCAGGTCCTTTGTAGGCGGCTGAGTGATCTCCTCCCTCCTCCGCAGGGTAGAATTAGGCGAGGCTAACTGAAGCCCAAACCAGCTCATCAGTGTCTGTGATGACAAAGTTGAATCCATTAGTGGGTTGTGTCTGTAGTGTGGAGCTGATGTCTTGTAATAGGCCCATTAGAAACAGCGGTAACATTTATGGTTGGGTTACTCATGTACACACACACACACGCACACACACACACACACATTCTCTCGCTCTCTCTCTATCTCACTTGCACACTTAAGTAATTCAGGTGAAATTTCCCAGGAGCAAAGGTACATTCCAGAGGCTGGTAGTGATATAGATTGGACTTGGATATTATCCAGAGCAGAGTGCATATCCAGGGCAACGTCTACAAAAGTAGCCGCACAGCACACATACACACATTTACACACAGAGAGAGACACACGCTCTCACTGCTTGCTCACTGAATATTAAGCAGTAAGGAGTGGGGGAGGACGGGGGAGGTACAGGAACCCTACATCCAACATCCTATACGCGGCTGCTCTTTTATAGCGATGATTACTGGCATTCATCTCTCTAACATGCATAGCAACCTGAATGAAGTTCACTGTGGGGCCCTCCCTGCACCCCTTTTGACCCCCTTTGCCTTTAAGGCACTATAGGTGTACAGGCATTCAGGGGGCACAATGCTCAGCTGCTCTTTCAGAGGTCACAAGTGTGTATAGTCAAGTGGGATCAAAACATGCACGTAGCTGGCGATACGAGGTGAGCAGGGCAAACGTTCAGCTGCAACACATTATGCATACAGCAGCTCATGAGAGATCACAGCATCCCCTCCATGTGATCTCCAGATCTGTCAAACTGCAGTCCGCTCTTGTTATAACTCTGCCTTGACTTTTTCACTCCTCCATGAAAGCCATCCAAAGAGAACTGGAAATAGGTGTTCGGTGCGAAGAAGAAATGACACCGAAGAGAGAAAGCACTGGGAACACACTGGAAGAAATCCGTGTTTGTGTGTATGTGTTTCACGTTCCGTGCAGCCAGCCTCAGCTCCTGCGGGATCCAAGGTTCGACCCCGTTGTTCAGGTCAGAGATGGACTCGTGACCACAGCGTCCGACAGCAACAGTGCAGAGGAAGCAGGAGACGGTGAACTCCAGATGTGAGGAAAGGAAATCCCACTTAGAGACAAACTCAGACTTGTAGCTCAGGTATGAATGCACGCACATATGCATTTTCTCATACGCCCGTCGACTGCATGTGGGAATCTACACTGAACAGCATATGCACTAACACTCACACACC